AGGTCCAAAATGCTGCAGCCAGATTGCTCACTCGGTCCAAAAAAACATGCCACATCACTCCGATTCTTTCTGCCCTGCCCTGGCTCCCTGTCAATCTCAGAACCCACTTTAAGGTATTGGTTTACACATATAGAGCTGTCCATGGCCAAGCCCCAGCCTACATCAATGACCTGATCCTCCCTCACAGCACAACCCGGGCCCTGAGGTCCTCTGAGCAAGGCCTCCTAAGGGTGCCCCGAACCAGGCTAAAAACTAAGGGGGACCGTGCATTTGAGGCGGTGGCCCCAAGGCTCTGGAACAAACTCCCCCAGAAAATAAAAACCTCTCCCTCAATAGAGATTTTTAAGGGGCAGTTAAAGACCCACCTCTTCCGACAGGCCTTTGGGGCGTCGGAGGAGGTGAGTTAGTAGCTGTCTTTTATTGGTGTTTTATCGTATGTTTTATCCTATGTATTACCTGCTGTTGTTTTATGCCTTTTTATGCCTTTTATTCTACATTTTAGTTGTACTGTGAATTGTGTACTGTACTGTAAAGCACTTTGTACATTCGTGTTGAGAAGGGTGCTATATAAATAAAGCTTTACTTACTTACTTTACTTACTTATCAATTATTGACCCAAATAATCGAGATTATGATTTTTGCCATAATCGAGCAGCCCTAATGGAAGTGTTTTGGGCCACCGTACATTTTGCTTTATAAAAAACTAAAATCTATCGGCTCCTATTTTAGCTGGAGGGTCGAACAATGTTTAACCTTGTAGATAACATATTCCGGGCTAATTGGTTGTTAAGAACTTCCAACGTTCTATTTCCTTTTTAAACATTTTCCTACAAATTAAATAAATACAAATTAAATTAAGTTAAAAGGTGTTGAAAAAAACAAACAAATCCAATACACCAGCGCATGCCAACGATAACTTTCATAAAGTCTCTTGGAGTTATTAGGTTTCTCATATACTATAAGGAGATTCATGGAAAGTGCCGCTTGAATCCGTCAAACAGCGTGGCATTTACAAGGGTTTTACTCTGAAGCCTTTTTATAGTTCCCTCATGACCACACACCTGTCTCAGGCTTTGTTGTTCAGCACTGGGGGGCTTTTAACACGTCTGCATGCTGAAAGAAAATAACTTTCCCTCCATCACAGTGGAAACTCGGTAATAGAGATTTCAGCGGTTACAGTTGGGTTCCATAACAGATGGAGACAGAGTATTAGTAACAGCAGGACTCTCATTTTAATGATAGACATTTATCCAGGAAACATGGCCTCCAGTTCCAGCAAATGCACTAACAAAAGAACTTTATTTGAAAAGTTATTATGTCCAAAATGTGTGTTAACACTAGCTTTATTGAAGATTAACTCTAGTGTGTACCATACACTGTCAGCAACAGAAGCTTCCCTTTTTCGTGGTGTGAACTTATAACTATAGGAAGTAATGCAATATCATTTGTACATGTCCCACAAAACCCTGAGCCAGGATGTGAAGGGTTTCCTCTAAGGAAGTCGGGTGGCATAATGTAAAGAACGACAAACTAAAAGTCAACATTAACTTGATTTATCTTACTTTTCTTTCCTAATTTAAAAAGAAATACAGGACCTTCTCTTAGGAGACATCTGTTTGTGTCCACTGTGAAAACCTAAAGTCACCGTTGATATATATTAACTTAGATAACAATAGGATAACAAATGTATTCATTGAACTCAAACCATGATTGTTTCTGAAGCTAGCCCATCACTGCAGGGGCCTGCGGAGGTGCACTAAACGCTTGTGTTATTGGACATTTGTAGAATAACTCATATTGCAGAGAAATCATCAATGATTTAAGATAGATGACAAAGGGTTTTGTACTAGAGGTGTAATAATAGAATAGCCAATGTTTTGAAACACACCCTGTGATGCATATGAATATGACATTTGATATCAAGTAATCCTATCAGTTGTGGTATGTGATAGGGATGGGAACGATTAATTGAATATTCGAATATACATTTGCTTTCAAATTCCCATCCCTAGTATGTGAGCAGTTCAGTGTGAGCAGAACGACGTAGAGAATTGATTTATAGATGAAGATGTGTTCTCAACTGATCAAAGGTACCACTGAGCATACAGCATTAAGGGATGTTGGCTCAATTCTGACAGTTGGACTGGTTTTGTGACAGCCATTTAGTTCTAAAGATCTAAAAACGGGTTCTCATGTCGGGTACATTGAGTTGGATCCATGTCCTGCTTTCAGATGTGAAGGAACATTGTATATTGCATTGTTATAACAGAACCAGCTTGAATCTAAAGCAACACTGACAATCATCTGTGCTGTCGAGCAGCAGGACACTGTCTTGGTGTGGTGTTGAATATTTAATAAGTCTTTTCTGGGAAGCCACCGCCTGCCTACACAGCTACATCGCTACTAACCTGCATCAGGGTGTGTAGACATCCTGAAGAAGTGTGTATAAATAGCTCCCTAAATACAATACATGAAGAATTCCAGCCTCTAGATATTTATTTTCAAATTGATTTAATGGTACACGTATTGTATGTTCGTATTTTTCAATACAATTGGTGATGTATACCTTCCATTTTAGATAAACAGTACAACTGTTAAATTCATTTATTTATTTTTAGTTCATTTTCCATACGGTATTTTTATAACTCAGACCCCTAAGCCGCGTTCACACCGCAGTACTTTTCCCACTTTAGTTCCGATATCGTTCCGAAATGTCGCGTTCACACCAAAAAGAGCCAGAACTAAAATGAGTTCATCAGAACCTTTTCACCACCTTTTCCGTCCCTGCTAGAGAGCAGGTACTTTCGTGGGAGAAAAAGATTCCTATGTCTGATTGGCTGGGCGGAATGCATACCACGCCCCGTAAAACTCCCAAAATGTTTTGTGAAGCCGCCATTTTATTATCCTCGCATTAGCATTATTAGCATTAGCATTAGCCCAGCGCAGAAATGCAGAGAAACTAACTTATGGCAACACAAAAGAAAACATGGGAGCGGTGGAGATGAGGAGGTGTGGGTGTTCTGGCGATTTACTCGGAAGGCTTCAGTAGAAGCTGCTGGGAGTCCCAGCAGCTTCTACTGAAGCCAGTCCCCAACTCCGGGGACTTCCGGCCGGGGACTTCGGGTGGCAGTATACGCCGTGAAGTTGTTTGCGGCCTGCCAGTAAACCCAAAGCAGAAGAAGAAGAAGTGAACTAAAGAGTTCTCATAAACCTTTGTGGGAAAAGTACTGCGGTGTGAAAGCGCCTATAGACTCACCTTAAAGTGGACCTATCATGCTATATTTAAATGATATATTGTAGGGCCATACCTATATAAGGTATATTTATGCGTTTCTGTTTTCAAAATACCAAACAGATCATGCATTTTAGCCATGCCTCATTTCGCTCTATGTGCTGTTTGCTGTCTACGGGTCTGATTCTGCTGACCACGCCCCCCTGCAGGAGAGGGGAGACGTGCTCTGATCAGCTGCTGGGCTGTCAGAAGAGGGGGAGAAAAAGAGATCTCCGTCCTCCGTGTTTTATTATATAGAGTCGTTATTCATTTGTTTTAAAGCTCAATAAATAACAAAGAAGACCTTTGACCGGCACTTTTCTAATTTTGTCCGGAAGATTTAAACTTTAACGGACATCTTGACCGGCGAAAGTAACTGAAACTGAAACTCTGCCGCACGGTCCCCTCGTTCCTTGGAAGAGGCGGAGAGGTGGGTGTTTGTCATCTGCTGGTGGACTAACCGGAGAGAATTACAGTGCTTGCCTCGACGGGGAGGGATTGCATTGAATTAAAGCAGCGGGAGCAAACGCTTGCCTCGGGGAGGGAGAAAAAAAGCCACAGCGGAGAATAAACAGAAGGGTAACCATGGTAACTATGGGCGGGGAAGTCTTCTTCGCTGCTTTTGTGGCAGACTACAGCGCCACTTACAGGCCTGGCATATGTACTACAGCGTCTCCAGCGCTTTCGAGCGGCAATGGCCGGCCGTGGCCCAACCCCACATTCCCCTGATAGGTGGAGAGTTGGCCCAATAGCCGTAGCGCCACTTTACTGACGTCAGTAAAGTGTTCAAATCTGGATCAGTTTTTATCAGATCCGTTGCAGCCCCTTTTTTAGAGATTTGGGTATGGAGGAAAATAGAGAGGGTTGTGTTTTCTGACACTTGGTTGTGTTTTCTGACACTTGGTGAGTTCCCTGGAACACCGGGGACGTATAAAAGACGTACAAAAGTGCATTTTGCATGATAGGTCCCCTTTAACATTTGATCCATCTCAGTGACATAAACTTGAGCTTTTAAAAAAATGTGAATAAAATATATTTAATTATTATGATGAATGTGTTCTTTCCAAAATCAAAGGGACATTGTATTTAGTCTTGAACGAAACATTATTATTATTATTTTTAAAACATTAGCACATACCTCATTCACCACATACATTGCTAGATTAGTCAGTAAGACAACAGTAAGAATCTGACAAAAAGCTATTTTTGTGTGGTTTGATTTAGAAAATAGTTTTGTGAAAATAATCCTCTCTAAATCCAGGTTACTGGCTTTTTCTGTACAATTTCAACAACACCTTGTGAACTTCGTTAGCAGTCATTCTTCTTCATTTGACCTAAATGCAAATTCTAAGACATCACTCAAGACACGTGAACACCTGCCAGGGTTTCTTTCAAATATGTGTACGGTGGCGATGCCCCTGCCCATCTGAAATAAGATGCTATAAGCTACAAAAAAAATAAAAATGTAAAAATGTACCAAAACAGATGTCAGGCCCGTAATCACAAAAGCAAAGTTTGATTATATGTGTAGCTTATGAGATGTGTGACCAATATTACATTTCTAAATAAACAATTTTTGGGATTTGAGTTGTGCGCCAGTCTTTGATCTACTTTGCTGACACTTCCTACTTCCTCTGTCCTATCATCTCTTTCCTCATCTGATTCCTCCCTCCCTCTGTTCTCCATCACTCTCCTTTAATCACATTACTCTCTCTCCATCCGTCTGTAGAGCTGAGCCGAAGCAGAGCAGACCCTGCCCTCTCTGATCGGAGAGGGAATCACGACCACAGGTCCAGACGCAAAGACTCTCCTCCATCATGCAGAGCTCCGTGCTTCTCCTTTCCCCGGTCCTCCTCCTGTGTCTCCTCATCCCCATCTGCACCTCCCAGAGCGACGGGGACCTCGTCGTGCAGACACTCAGCGGTCCAGTCCGCGGAACTCGCATACCGGTGCCAGACCGAAACCACGTCACCGCGTTCCTTGGCATCCCCTTTGGTGAGGCGCCAATAGGGAAGCTGCGTTTCCGTCCTGCTGAGCCCAAGCGCTCTTGGACGGATGTGCATGAGGCCAACAACTACCCCAACGCCTGCTTCCAGTATGTGGACATGTCGTACCCCGGCTTCCAAGGCAGCGAGATGTGGAACCCCAACAGAGAGATGAACGAGGACTGCCTGTACCTGAACGTCTGGGTGCCGTCCTCACCAAGACCTCACAACCTCACCGTCATGGTGTGGATCTACGGCGGAGGTACTGGGTCACGACTCTGACAGAAGGAGATAAGATATAAATTGGTTAGACATTACTCATTGGGTCAGCAGGGCCTCAGGCTGTGCCTTGTTGTAAAGAGGAGAGCATCAAATATAGCCAATTACATTTCTTTATTAGGATCTGCTTGATATGTGTTCACTCATCAACTCTTTGTAAGTAGACGATCTGAAACTCCATGCCGAGAACACATTGGATTCAGTTAAGTTACAGTACCTGTTTAGTAAGTGTTTAACCCAAATAGACAAGGGCATCTAGCAATGAATTGGATATAATACAGTAAGTTAAATCTGACAAAAAAAAGGCTGAGATTATGCAACTAAGACTATTAGTATCATTTCTGCTAGTCTAATACCTTTTCAACTGTTTCCATATAGATATAAAGATAAAAGTTCCTCTAGACCAGGGGTGTCAAACTCAAGGTCCGGGGGCCAAATCCGGCCCGCGACTTCATTTTATGTGGCTCGCAAGAGCTTGCAAAGAATCGAATACGTTTATTATACGGTTACATGCCACTTTACAGAAGCACGTTGCCCATAAACTACATATCCCATAATGCATCTCGTTTTGTGACATGCGCACTAAAGAGACCTGCACTAGACATTAAACATCGTAAACTTTATTCATTATTATATCAATACTTTTTTTAACAGCAAAACGTTTAACTGTTTGTTTGAGATGAAGTGATACAATGGGTTACTATACTGTGATATTTAACATTTCCAGGGTTCTACAGTGGTGCTTCCTCTCTGGACGTGTATGATGGCCGTTACCTAGCTCACAGTGAGACGGTCATTGTGGTTTCCATGAACTACCGTATCGGTGCCTTCGGCTTCCTCGCTCTGCACGGCTCCCCTGAGGCTCCTGGCAACGTGGGTCTGCTGGACCAGAGGCTGGCCCTGCAGTGGGTACAAGATAACATCCATTCATTTGGTGGAAACCCCAAACAGGTTAGTTTCTCTCTTTTTTTCTTGTCTATATATTAAGGTGCGATCTCGTTTTGCTCCTGGTTTCTAAATTGCTGGTTTTTTTTACCAAACAGGTGACCATCTTTGGTGAGAGTGCAGGAGGTGCTTCAGTAGGATTCCACCTTTTGTCTCCAGACAGCCGGCCTACCTTCACCAGGGCCATCCTCCAGAGCGGGGTCCCAAACTCCCCCTGGGCCTCGGTGAGCCCCGCAGAGGCCCGCAGACGGGCCACGCTGCTGGCCAAACTGGTTGGCTGCAATGGAGGCAACGACACAGAGCTGGTGGACTGTCTGCGCGGTAGATCCCCACAGGAGCTCATCGACCAGGAGTGGCAGGTAATGCAGACAGTCAGAAAACAGTGTTTGAGATTCACTTCATTCCCTTTCATACACACACATCAGGTCCAAATAAACTTGAGCAACAAATGTGGATTGATTAGCCGTTGAGGGATGTTTGAGGGATGTGTAAAAACTTCAGTGAGTTGTTTTAGGAAATGATCAACAAGATGAAACTAGATTAATAGATGAAAGTAATTTGTAATTGCGATTAAGATATGTATTATAACTAGTACCATTTCTTGACACTGTTTATAAATAAACCAGACAGGATTCAAGAACCATCATTACATTGATGCAAATCATATAAACATCAAATATTGCCATAAATCCATCCTGCTCGAACACAACTAAATATACACCGTCACAGTTTGGCAAAATCTAAACTTGCATTTTTATTTTCTCTAGTATATATTGTCCGATTCAGTATATTGGAGGAATCAAGTGTTTCCCAATAATCACCTAGGCAGCATGCCTTAAAAACTATAATATAATTCTATCTATAAAAACGTTTTTACTCTTCAGAACTGGTTGATCGGCTTGCCCTTGCGGAACGCATTTCCTCTATGCCAGTGATGTCATTTGAACTCTGCTATTTCTGTCTTGTCTTCATTTGATTATTTCCCGCTTGACCTTGGAGGGATGGTTACGTATGGAGTGTACCACTGCACCTTCCATATAGGTAGTCTATTGACAATCTTTAGGACTGTATAACCCCTAATCAGATAGGCTGTTCCAACATAAAGTGGGCTCTGGCTAACAGGTACAATTTATTTTCCCCACATTGCTGGACCACCAGCCATGTGGTTTTGCCATAATGGCCGAAATGCCAGCCCGACCCTGCAGCAATGTATCATATAATGTGGACATAACAATTATTGTTATGTCCATGTTTGTGTCTTAAGCCTGTAAGATATAGGAGATGACATTCCCATCTCAGACAACAACAAAACAAAAACAGAAGAAATAAAGATACAGTCAGTAGGTTCACTTCAACATTTCACAAACAAAAATAGGTTGACAACCAAATACCACCAAAAACACAACATGGCAAGCATATTTATTGTTCCTTTAATCCCACTCTCCGTTAGAGCTCATTATTTCCCATGTCATGGCGTGTTCAGCCAACCTTTGATTTTTGTGGCAATAATTTCTTTCAAAAGACATTTTATTTGTAATCTACTCTTCAAACACCTTCAATTAAGATTACTCCTTGATTGACTTTTAAAAATATGTATTTTAACCAGAAGAATAGTTTTATTTATTAACTGTGTGCGGTCTTCATCTAAAAGCGCAAATACAATATTAAAGGGTGTAAATGTAAATTCAATATTTGCCGCCAAATTATTTGCAAAACATTTTGATTTGAGTGGAAACATTTTCATCATTAAGACTTCTTTTTATTTGAACCTCTTTTCCTTTCTCTTTCTCGATCCTCCTTAGCAACGGTCATTACAGTCCTTGACAGCGGTCTGTTCTACTGGATTTACAACGTGTCACATGTTCTGAATTGACCAATCAGAACTTTATTTAGCCTCCGTATTGTTTATGGTTGAATGTGGGCCGCGAAAACATTTTAGATTCTTAAGTGGGCCCTGAGTTGAAAAAGGTTGGGAACCGCTGGTGTAAGACACAAGTGAATGATAATGCTGGCCTGGATGCAGGGGCCTTCTGGGAGTTACTAGATCAATCTTGTGAAGCTCAGATCAATTCAGTGCTCCGTATTTCATCCTTTCTGAGCAGGTCCTGCCGTGGCCCAGTCTCTTCCGGTTTTCATTTGTCCCTGTTGTGGACGGAGAGGTCCTGCCCGACACTCCCGAGGCCATGCTCAGCTCAGGCAACATTAAAGACACTCAGGTCCTGCTCGGGGTCAACCAGGACGAGGGCTCCTACTTCCTGCTGTACGGAGCGCCCGGCTTCAGCAAGGACAACGAGAGCCTCATCTCCAGGGAGGAATTTGTGGCAGGTGAAGTCACTCAGCTGTAATGGATGGATAGAGAATATTGTAGAAGGATTGTTCAACTGTTTATATGATTGATGAATTTAATAGTTCTCTTTTACTGTGACTAATCCAGAGGTGGGAAAAGTACTCAGATCTTGTACTTGAGTAAAAGTAGAAGGAATACTCTGTTACAAGTAAAAGTCCTGCATTCAAAATGTTACTCAATTAAAAGTACAAAAGTATAAGCATCAAGATATACTTAAAGTACTCATTGTGCAGATTGGTCCATTTCAGAATAATGATATGTGTTGATTATAATTATTGATCATTAAAGTGTTATCAAAGCTGGTAAAGGTGCAGCTAGTTTGAATGACTTTGAGTGAAGTGTACACCATTTACCTCTGAATGGTAGTGGACTAGAAGTACAAAGTAGCAAAGATTTGAAATACTCAAGTAAAGTACAAGTATCTCAAAATTGTACTTAAGAACAGTACTTAAATGTACTTTACACCATTGGACGAATCGGAGAGATTTGCAGAAAATCCACACGTTCAATTTCAAGCTTTCTGTACATCACCCCACATCACAGCTTTTTTACAACAACAAAAAATGCACCTAAAGAGTGAAAAACCTAACAAAAACGTTACTGTGCCAGGTGTGAAGATCAGCGTGCCACATGCTAACGACATTGGCCTGGAGTCGGTGGTGCTGCAGTATACGGACTGGATGGATGAGAATAACGGGTTGAAGAACCGGGAAGCCTTGGACGACATCGTGGGGGACCAAAACGTCATCTGCCCGCTGGCACACTTCGCTCGCTCCTACGCCCAGCACAACGCCCTGAAGTCTAACATGGGAGGAAACCCACAAGGTAAGATATACGAGGGTGGTCCAGTTTGGCCCTCTTTTCCTCATAAAGCCAGAACTAATCAGGCAGGCTGTAATTCATCTGAAACCTACAACATTTGCATCATGTCTGAGATCCTGGGACAATAACTCTGATACCGCACATGCCTTAAGATTTACAGTTAACAATAAAACAATATTGTATAAAGAATTCACTCTGCAGAGGAAGATTGAAATGGGAATTTTGCTGTATTGTATCAGCCTTCTATATAAGTGGCTTTTGGAATTTTCTATTTTTCAAAGGGCTTATATTGTCCTAATAGCTTATCGTTTTATATAATCCGGAACCAAGGAATGAAGAAATACCAAACTAAAATGTCTAATTTTCTATATTTTTTTCTTCTCCAAACAATTGATCATATATCTAGATAATAAGATATATTATAATCATCTATCTCTGCAGTTACAGTAACAAATGCATTGTTTAGACAAAACAACTGCAATAACTTCATATGTTTATTCTTTTTGCTCTAAAACTCAAAATAAACCCCTTAATTTATTAAAGGGGACCTATCATGCAAAATGCACTTTTGTACGTCTTTTATACATGAATATGTGTGCCCGGTGTTCCAGGGAACTCACCAAGTGTCAGAAAACACAACCCTCTCTATTTTCCTCCATACCCAAATCTCTAAAAAAGGGGCTGCAACGGATCTGATAAAAACTGATCCAGATTTGAACACTGTCCTGACGTCAGGACTGTGGCGCTACGGCTATTGGGCCAACTCTCCACCTATCAGGGGAATGTGGGGTTGGGCCACGGCCGGCCATTGCCGCTCGAAAGCGCTGGAGATGCTGTAGTACATATGCCAGGCCTGTAAGTGGCGCTGTAGTCTGCCACAAAAGCAGCGAAGAAGATTTCCGCCCATAGTTACCATGGTTACCCTTCTGTTTATTCTCCGCTGTGGCTTTTTTTCTCCCTCCCCGAGGCAAGCGTTTGCTCCCGCTGCTTTAATTCAATGCAATCCCTCCCCGTCGAGGCAAGCACTGTAATTCTCTCCGGTTAGTCCACCAGCAGATGACAAACACCCACCTCTCCGCCTCTTCCAAGGAACGAGGGGACCGTGCGGCAGAGTTTCAGTTTCAGTTACTTTCGCCGGTCAAGTTGTCCGTTAAAGTTTAAATCTTCCGGACAAAATTAGAAAAGTGCCGGTCAAAGGTCTTCTTTGTTATTTATTGAGCTTTAAAACAAATGAATAACGACTCTATATAATAAAACACGGAGGACGGAGATCTCTTTTTCTCCCCCTCTTCTGACAGCCCAGCAGCTGATCAGAGCACGTCTCCCCTCTCCTGCAGGGGGGCGTGGTCAGCAGAATCAGACCCGTAGACAGCAAACAGCACAGAGAGCGAAATGAGGCATGGCTAAAATGCATGATCTGTTTGGTATTTTGAAAACAGAGACGTATAAATATACCTTATATAGGTATGGCCCTACAATATATCATTTAAATATAGCATGATAGGTCCACTTTAAGTTAGATGAAAACTGCCAATATATGTTCTCTTCAAAGCCACCAGACCATATTTAATGAAACAGTCATTTTTCTTTGCTGATCATTTCATAATACACTTTATTCAAACTCGACAGAAACCAAATAAATCTATTCAAAACCGTCTTTGTTGGCCTTCCCTCTGTTCCAACAATCACCACATCTTGTTTGAGTGTTTAAAATAGATAGAACAGATATCAAAAGATCCAATACAATAATGTTTTACCAGCATCTGCAGAATGTGTTGGTATCACACCATTTCTATAGGGTCAAACTAACCAATGGTCCTCTTCTCCTCCTGCTCCTGCTCTAAAGGCCTCTACCTCTACCTGTTCGACCACCGGGCGTCCAACCTGGCGTGGCCCGAGTGGATGGGAGTGATCCACGGCTACGAGATCGAGTTTGTGTTCGGGCTGCCCCTGGAGAAGAGACTCAACTACACCCTGGAGGAGGAGAAACTGAGCCAGCGCATCATGAGATACTGGGCCAACTTTGCACGAACTGGGTGAGGCCTCACAGACTGGAGAATGAATGTACTTATCAACTGTAATGAGCAGCAGAGAGAGAGGGGGACACCAGAGAGGACAGACCAGTCCATCTTGATTAGGTTGCTTAGCTACAGGGTGGATGAGGTGGTCAGTTATAGATCACAAGTCACTCAGTCTTGCTACTGCAAAGCAAACCTCCATCTCTGTGGTTGAAGTCGAATGATAGATACTTCCGGGGAATCCCGAGGTCTGTCCAGCTGTGACGCCATTGGATTTGTTTGGTCTGCCATTTTGATCCAGATTCAAATACACCCCCAAATAAATTGGATGGATTTAAATTTGGCAAAGATCAAAGTCTTTGCCAAGTCTAGTGATGTTGCTCACTTTTCCATGTTTCCTTGGTTAGCTCCACCAGCACTTAAAATGTTCTACTCGTGCAGGGAAATATATCAGCATCAGATTGATTGGCACAAAACAGACATTCATGGTCCCCAGAGGATGAAGCCCACATTGGTAACGCTTTGACTTTGCATCGAGCACACAAATGATGTCAAAAACATTATTAGAACAATATTTTACTATATTAAAATACATCAAAAATACATTCCCCTCAGAGCCAGATGTCCTTTGAGTTTTTCGGATTTATTAGAGATGATAAGCTGCTTAAAATCACCATTGTCATTTGAACATCTTAGCATTTGATTAGCATTTAGCACAGAGGAGCGCTTGGCCTAAGCACACAGCATAACACTCACAGCTAGAGGTCTCCTAACAGCTAGATGTTAGGGAGAGGCAAGGTGGACCTTTAAAGGGTAAACCTCTTCCGCTGAGGCCAGATATATCCTGACATTTAGATCAGAAATAATTAGCAAGTACATGCTTTTCATTCATTAAAACAACCCCACATTGTCCATATCAAAATGATGGTTCTGCCCTGCCATTACTGTAAATACATTACTTCTGTCTCTACACAACTGGAGAATTATTTATGATTCTAATCAAATTATGTCTGGACTTTTTTTTTTCTGTCTGAGCAAGTGAGTAATAGCCCTGCGGCAGAAACGGCAGAATGCTGATGCAAAGCTTTTGATTAAACTGCCACGTACTGGACTGATTTCCTTCCAGTCAGTCACAGAAAACAGCTTCAGGTTCAGATGTGTTTTCATAACTGCTTGAGAGATGCTTCAATATGTGTATATGTGCATTTCTGTTACTTATACGGATAGTTCGATCGTAAATATTCAAACTGAAAAGAGGTTTACGTGTGACATTGGTAATGTTTCATGTCAACATATAGTTAACTTCCTAATTTCTTAGTTACTATAACCAACTGATTTTTGATTTAGCATTCACCATTAAAACCATTTGAACTAGGTTAGGAAACATCTGTCAAATAAACAGTCATCTCATGCTAACATCACAAGCTAGCATGATTTCAAAAGATACCATTTTAGAAGCATAAAAAACATAAATTATTCAAATGTACTGTATTTTCTAGTACTGACAATGGTTGGCTTTTGAACTAGCTACTTTAGTTTTACCCGAGTGGACCTAAGAAACAAGCAATGAGTGTATTTTTTATTTATATCTATTCTTAATTGTAACTTCCCTCCTTGTCCCTTTACTTTGTCCTGCAGAAATCCCAATGTGAACCATGACGGGATGATGGACAGCAAGAAGCGCTGGCCTCTGTTCACCGTCAGCGAGCAGAAACACGTCGGACTCAACACTGAACCACTGAAGGTCCACAAAGGGCTGAGGAACCAAATGTGCGCCTTTTGGAACCGCTTCCTGCCACGCCTCCTCAACATCACCGGTAAGCACTACTCCTTAGCACTTCTTGTACTTTAAAACATGACGTGTGTACTGAATACAGGTCAACACTAGTCATTATGTTCCCAATGGTACTCCGAAAAGCCAGGTCAAATATGTATGGATGTCAATGAATTTTGGCAAAGATGTTCACCGTCCCCAGGAGATGTTGGTGATCCCCTCACTTTCCACTTTTCAATTTCAGCTCCACCAGCAGTTAAAAGGAAATATATCAGTATGACCCAGATTGATTGGTGCAACATTTGGTACAAACATGCATGGTCCCGAGAGGATGCATCCCACTGACGCTCTGACTTTTTAGCATCGTCTAATTTTTATTTCAGCAATATTATATTCCAACAAGCAAAGAGTAAAAAAAAAGAAGGCTATCGGCTGGTAAAACAAAAAAATTAAATAATAATAACAAAGGCCAGATAAAAAATCAAATGTTTACATCTAGATATGTTTAAGATATGTAAAGAGCTGGACATTCTATTTGGTAAATACAGCATAAATGTAGGCTACATCAATAGACCGTTCAAAGTCAACTTTATTGTCAATCTTCTGTGTGTGTGATACAGACAGGGAGATCTGAATGCTGTTTCTCACCTATCCAGAGGAATACAAATACACAAATATGTGTAACTGTATACAGACCTGTACACTTACTTATATATAAAGTATGTACTCATACATAATGAAACATAGGCACATATTGTATATACATATACACACATTAAGAGAGATACATAAAAAGACACAACTGTCTATATATACAAACAGTTGTTGTCAAGCTAATGTCAAAACTTCCTGACATCTCCTGCAGATCTTTTTCAATAACTGCCTTTTTCTTACAAAAGTACACCACGTGGAGGGTGGTGCTCTTTGACCTGAGGGAACTGTCCCTTTTCATTGGAAGAAAGGGATGGGGGTCATTGGCAGGGAGGTTTGGACTAGAAAAAAATGCATGAAAATCTGCGATGCTTCCCTTTAACACCAACCAAATGAAGGAGCAAGCACCACTGTCTTGAGGTTGGCACCCAAACAAAACACCAATGACAGGCTGTGATTCTGACATGCATAACGAGCAACATGGCTCCACTTTCCTCTGTGTCTCCTCTCTCAGACAACATAGACGAGGCAGAGCGCCAGTGGAAGGTGGAGTTCCACCGCTGGTCCTCCTACATGATGCACTGGAAGAGCCAGTTCGACCACTACAGCAAGCAGGAGCGCTGCACTGACCTCTAAGAGAGAGAGAGAGAGAGAGAGAGAGAGAGAGAGAGAGACGGGGAGGGGGGGGCAGAGAGAACAAGCCGTGGCCATTTCCCTCCATAGCCCCCTCAGTGAAGTCTAACTTCATTCAAACATTTCCTTTTTTTTTCTGTTTCACTCCACACACAAACACACAGGCACTGTTTATCTGTATTTGTATTATTTATACTATTTATTTATGTGTTATTCTTATTTATGTGTGTCTCTGTGGAAGCTAAGAAAGGGCTATGGAGGGAGGTCGTCATCAATAAGGAGGAATATTAGAAATGTCAAAGATGTGTCATTACTGTGTGTGTGTGTGTGTGTGTGTGTGTGTGTGTGTGTGTGTGTGTGTGTGTGTGTGTGTGTGTGTGTGTGTGTGTGTGTGTGTGTGTGTGTGTGTGTGTGTGTGTGTGTGTGTGTGTGTGTGTGTGTGTGTGTGTGTGTGTGTGTGTGTGTGTGTGTGTGTGTGTGTGTGTGTGTGTGTGTGTGTGTGTGTGTGTGTGTGTGTGTGTGTGTGTGTGTGTGTGTGTGTGTCTTTTGTTTTTGAGGATTCCTTCTTTCCGACATATCAGGGTTTTTAGTTTTTTGGACTCAACAACACTGTTTGTTTGTTTCTGTCGAGGCCTTTTTTGTTCATGACTACTATAATGACCGCTATTCCCATTTCCTGCGTGTTCTGCTCCTTGTGTATTTCTCCTGTGGTAAAGCCATAAGCTGGGTATTTAGTGTGAAAACGCTCCATGGACTATAACTGTTTGGTGCCTAATTTATATTTTAGAGAGTTCACCTAAATCCGCTTGACCTTTGACAGACATAATTCATTTTTGATGTTTATGGCACTCTGTCAGCTGTTTAGTACCATACCTGTCACTGTCTTATTTGCATATCAGCATAGATAAACAGAAATTGGGTAGAGGGGGTGGGCGGAGGAACTGGAAACGTCTACTGATAATGTAAAAGTGGGCAAATGTGTTCAAATGGCCCTGAATGGTAACAGCTGCACTCTTGAGTTAAAGTGAGGCATTTCACTTCGGCCACTGTGACCACTGTTAAAGACAATTCATCCATTTGAAAATGTTTTTTTAATGAATTGATATTTAATCTATTCATATTTGCAGCTTTACTCTTACATAAGTACTCCTTTAGACATTTTAGACTCTAATTTGTAAAGAAAATATAATGTAAAGAAATGTCTCCCTTTTTAAAGCCACTATTTAAGCATTTTAAAATGCCTAGCATTAGCATTATTGGGTGGTAGCATTTGGAAATGGCAAAAAACTACCCTTCAACCAAAAAATATATGTAATACTGTAATAATTATCCTTTGTTATACAATCTGTACGAAGAGGATACATTTTGAAATGTGAATCAGTTGCTTTATGAAGGAATCCCTTAAAGTTAACCCTTTAAACATACAGTATAATGTGATGAACTCTAAATGCTTTTGTGTGCGTCTTTCAATCCAAATCTGTTTGGGGGGATGTGATAAGCAGGAGCATGGCTGTAGCTGTGAGGTCACTGAGGTCATGTGACCTCTGTCCTTGTCAAATCTTGTTAACAGCCCTGTTCAGAAACCACTTTTGTTCCACTGCACTGAATTTCTGTGTGTGTGTGTGTGTGTGTGTGTGTGTGTGTGTGTGTGTGTGTGTGTGTGTGTGTGTGTGTGTGTGTGTGTGGTGTGTTGTGTGTGTGTGTGTGTGTGGTGTGTGTGTGTGTGGTGTGTGTGTGTGGTGTGTGTGTGTGTGTGTGTGTGTGTGTGTGTGTGTGTGTGTGTGGTGTGTGTGTGTGTGTGTGTGTGTGTGTGTGTGATGTATTCCAATAACATGTCCCCCTCTCTGTTTGGTACAGTCCTCTCTGTTTTTGTATTCGTTTTACTTTTGATCGTCCCCTCTCTGTTTCTTTACTTCATTCTCTGTTTCCACCAGCTCTCCTCTCCCTCCCTCTCCTCCCTCTCCTCCCTCTCCTCCCTCTCCTCCCTCTCCTCCCGCAGCTGTTCCTCTCCACCACCACCGCCCTGTTGCCCTGCTTTCCGCCTCTCAGTCTTCCTCCCGCTTCATCTTCCTCTCTAATCACCCTCCTGCCTCTCCCACTCTCTTCCTTTCATCCTTCACCCTCTCCACTCATATCCTTCTCCTTCCACCCCATCTAACTTTTCTCCTCTTCCTCATCTCTTTCCTTCCTCATCCATCTCCTTACTCCCCTCCCTACTCGGCCTCGTCCCGGTCCCCTCCCCCATCGCTCTCCTCCGTCCTCCTGCTTTCTCGTTAGTCTAATGGAGGCAGAGTAATTCACTCAGCAGCGGGGTAATGTGACAGAGCGCTTGCTCAGCCTCTGGCCTGCCAGCCAACACTGGATGGATGGATAGATGGAAAATGGAGGTGGAAAGGTACAGAGATGAGGCAAGGAGAAAGGGACAGAGGAGGAGGAGGGGGGGCGGGGTGGATGAGGCAGAAGGAGAGGTGGAGATGTGATGGAAAGATGAAAAGACAGTCAGAAAAATACATCATTGCATAACTCTTCTGCTTCGAAAGAACTGTGTGTGAGTTTCAGCTTACACTGTGTGCCAGTGAAGATGAATTATTCAAACGTAATTAAAAGTTGAAAACCTCACTTACTTAATAATAAACAAAAATATCCTGCTTATATTGCCCATACCACATAATATAACTACATCATTTCAATGTTAGCGATGTTGGAATATAACAACAAACCAACATACAATCTTTTTTTTACCCAAAACCATTGTCTAAAAAAGTATTTTACACACTGGACTTATTTATATAGATTTACTTTCTGTATATTTTTTATTTGTAGAATTCAAATCCGCTAACAGAAATAGACAAAAATGGTTTAGCTGATTTTGAGTCCTGAAACTGGATATGTTATGTGCGTTAATATAATAACTTTAATTCAGTTAGGACTTCAAATGCCCCCCCCCCCCCCCCCCCCCCAGTGAGTGTGTTGTGCATCATGTGTGTGTAAGTGTGTGTGTGTGTGCGTGTGTGCGTGTGTGGTGTCACTACCTGTCTGTCAACCTCTTTGCCATTTTTCTTTATTAACAAGGAGGGAACTGAATCAGCGCTCTGATTGGCTGAATGCTGTCCCAGCAAAGTGTCTCTGTTGGCATGTAAAGCTCCTATTTATGGACCGGAGTAGATTAGTCTAGCTTTAAAAAGAACTAAATATGAATAAAGGATTGTATCTGATGTCTAAAATACCAGTGAAGAATGCATGTGTGACTGGCTGTGTGAGTGACAGCTCCTCTCATCCAATGGGAGACCCCCGCTTAAGCCCTCCTTCCCCTGCCCTCCTATCAGATCCTTGTGCATGTCCTTCCAGTATATCCTTCCAAACTTGGACTGTTATTTTCTGTAAAATTTGTACTTTTGAACAAAACTATTATCAAAGTGACTAATATAACTCTAATGTTAGGTACGTTTAATGTTAGCAATAAATATATCAGTAAAGGAATATATTTGATATTTAAATGCAGTGAAAATATAACGTGATTAAACAACAATGATGATGGATAGAGGTTGTGTTTTAAAAGCAATATTATTCTGACAAAAAATGAGTGCCATAAATCCTTTTTCAGTTTGTTTGACTTGGTTTCAGTCCTCTGCCTCATCGTTGTTTGTTCCAGTCACCAGTACTGTACGTGTTGAAGGCTTCTCTTCCCATGTCTCTGTGTATCATGAATGCTGACTTGGTTAAGCTATAGCAACAGAAATAAAGACACCCTGCTGCTTCTGTCCACACTGAGCTGTTATTGAGTCCAGCATGCACCAACAGCTGTGTCATTTTCTGAAAAAAGGCGAAACAAAACAAATATGTAAATGTATACAGAATCATGGTAATTAAAGATACCATGTCAACATTATGGGACAATTATGGGACTTGCCATGACTATTTTTATTTTTGTCATCAATTATGAACCAGTTTTGTAGACCCCAAGGGACACATGAGAGGAAAAAGAGAAGCTCATGTTTCCAGACATAATGTAAGATTTTCCTTTACTCAGGATGTTGGTTTCATGCTGCCCCCTAGTGCATTTTCTCTGTACCTAGAGCAACTTCGGAATGTTGTATTGTATTAAACCCTGCACTGATTATCGGCTTATCCACATTTCCTAAAAACCCAATTCTCTCCCCACAAAGGCCTCAGATCGATGATTATGTGTTTTTTAGTCGTACACATAAATGACCCCCTCCCCTCTTTACTTATAAGAGTAAAATACTCTTTCCTTCCTTGGTTTATAGCCAATTATACACTTTTAATGTATATAACATATTTCTTAAAGGTAGGTAGATAAGAATGGAGAAACCAGCTTGAGTGCGCTAGAATTTGAAAGTACGCAGCCGAAAGAAATCTGCCTCTTCCTTCAGACTTCCTTACAGAGCCCCTCCTCCAACACACACGAACGCGCACATGACCAATGAGGGCACGAGATAAGTTTGTGCACAGATGGAAGGCTGACAGGCAGGTAGGCCATCCAGTTACTTTAGCCGGGCCGGCTAAAATGATTGGTCGTGCTTTTTACAGTATTACGGCTTCCACAGATGAGATTTTTTAAATGTATTTATTGTCAAATGTGACGGCCCACAAAGCACTTAAGATATTCATTGCTATCGGGATGTTAAGAGCATTCCATGGAATATAACAAAAAGTGTTTCTGAAGTGAATTACCTACCCCACCTTTAAGCTTGAAGTTTTCGATTTCTTTTTTTATCAACAATTTGAAATGGTCCTAAATAGTTTAAGTCTTGTGTTTACTCATATTATTGTCAATTGAATTAATAAATGAATCAAATACCAACATTTTGGACAGCATGTTTAAATGAATAATTCCAATAGGTTACTTTCATGGCAAAAAGGTTAACTTAAAAGTAAGTCTCAAATGTGTGATGTTATCAGGTATAAAGTCTGGAGCTGCTCCAAAGACAGAAAGGATTTTTTCTTTCTACCGGAATGAGCTTTATTCTAGTATCATAAGAAGTAACTGTAACTCCTACTATAATGTTGTTCCTTCTGAAATATAGTAGAAGTATAAAGTTATGTTCATCCTACACTTACTTAGGACTTTATAGAAATACTTTACTTGTTTAAGTAAAATAAGTCCTTACTTTAAACCAGTGTTGGAAGAAGTACTCAAATCCTTTACTTAAGTATAAGTACAGATACTATGGTTTTAATATAATCTATTAGAATAGAATAGAAGTATTACAAGTAAAAGTCCTGTTTTCACAAATGTACCGCAGTAAAAGTACAAAATAATTAGCATCAAAATACACTTAGTACAAACAGTAAAAGTACTCATTCTGCACAATGGCCCATTTCTG